AGAAGACAAAACATCCTCTCTCTTATTTCGAACATTAATAAAGTCAGGATAACAGATCAAAAAATATATAAATGATCTTAAAAGATTGATGAAACAATCTTTGAGAAAGAAATACAAAATCTATATCTATAATTTGCTAAATTGTTTGTGTATGTATGTGTGTGTGTGATCAGATATTGTTCATGCATTTCCAGTTTTCATCTGATTTCGATGAAATTTTTATTTTTTTTGTTTGATAGACAATTTTTCAGTGCTGGTTTTGAATCCAAATTGTTGGCGACAATGGCTCTCCATTACTTCCTGTCCATTATAACTCTGAGCAACGTTTTACTATCTGTTCTTGGATATTGTTGTGGTAAACCCTCCTACAGTAGAATGAACTCTTCCTCCTCTCATAATGAACTCTTCCTCCTCTCATAATGAACTCTTCCTCCTCTCATAATGAACTCTTCCTCCTCTCATAATGAACTCTTCCTCCTCTCATAAAGAACTCTTAGCTCTCATAATGAACTCTTATATATCCTAAACATAAATATAAAAAAATCTGAGACTTCCTAGGGAAGTCGTTGAGGCAGTCGAGACACGTTCGGATGGACACCTCTATCTGCTTATTACTAGCACTCATGCTTTGTATAAATCTGTTATTTCAATATACTTGTTCAAGCTACCTTCGTTTTCCATGTCTTTCATTTCTGGCCCCTAAACAGGCCAAAACAGATATATATCTTTCACGAAAACTTTAATAAAAAATAGTTTAAATTATTACAATAATATTACTTATTATTATTATTATACTGTTCCCTTTTCAAATTGTTAAACCCCCCCCACACACACACATTTGGGGATGTGACTCAGTTGCACCCAAATGTTGTTAATAATATTGATTTTCAGGTGGGCTGACTTTAAACTTAAACTGCTTCAATTGAATGGCAAAAATTCCCAGTAATGAAACACCTGGTCAAAGACAGGTTATATTGCTAGTTTTGTATAAGGCAGAAAATGCTCTTTCAATAAAAGGTGCACCCAACTGAAAGAGGAAAAAAAAAATCACAATATGAAGGCAGCTTTGGAACTGTATCAAGGGATTTTTACCAATTTAGCTTCTTTAGAACTCTGTTCTGTTCACAGGTTTCAATTCCTTTTTCCACATGTTTTCCTTTCTGGCATCCTGGGTATGACGATAAACTACATCCAGTAGCAAGGCCTCTGATGGGGGAGGTTTCCAGGAGCATGGAACTACCTTTTAATTGCTGTTGTTTCCAGGTCCGACCTAACCCAAGTCCAACCTAACCCAGGTTGGTAGCACCTGTTACGGTGTCAAGTAATAGGCAAATAGTTAACTCCCAAACTGCTGTCAAAACACTATGAAAGTATAAAAAATATTTTTATAGTAAAATACCAGTGCATACATTTTTGTTAGTAAAAAAAATTTACCATTCAATACATGTTTGTAAAAATAAATTACTAATGCTCCCCAAAAAATTAAATTTTCTGCATTCTTTCTTTTTTTCTGTGAGAAAGGCTTCAGAGACATAAAATAATCATGGCTCTCCAATTCCTCCCAATAAGAATTGTCCCTCTGCCACCTCCCACAGATCATTGTCATCCACTTGCAATATCCCTACCAGGTATGTCATGCATTGCTTTCCTTTTCTCTCTTTTCCATTCTATTTGACCTGTGATGGAGATTCTCCAGGCTCTCCTTTCTCATTATGTGTCCCAGAAACTTCAGCTGCCTCTTCCCGATGTTTAATATAAGCCTCCACTTTGTTTTCATCCTCTCTAAGATCTCATCGTTGCTTACACCTTGTAAGGTATTTTGTCCTTAGCATCCTTGTCTCTCTTCCCCTCTATTCGACCTGTGAGTATCAGATTCTCCAGGCTCTCCTTTCTCATTATGTGTCCCAGAAACATCAGCTGCCTCTTCCTGATGTTAAGCATAAGCCTCCACATTGTTTTCATCCTCTTCACAACCTCATCATTGCTCACACGCACGGTCCATGATATCCTCAGCATCCTTCTGTAGAACCATACCTCTATTGGCTTAAGTCTCTTCATCATCTTTGAGGAGATTGTCCAACATTCACTGCCATAAAGGAGGACAAATGTGATGCAGGAGCTCAGTACTCTTTTAATTGTTACTAATGAAATCCTCCTGTCTCATAATACTCTGCCTAGCTTTTGGAATGCATCCCTGGCCATCCTAATACATCTTCAGACCTCAGCATTGCACATACCATTCTCCGTCAGAACACTTCCCAGATATTTAAACTTCTGCACCTACTTGATCTTAGTGTCCTCGACCTGCAATCTTATTTCAGGCTCATCCTTTTACCGATGACCATGCATTCTGTCTTCTTGTAGTTTATGCTTAGTCCCTTCTCGCTGTCCTTAACTACCTTGTGTAGGAGATTTTTTTTAATTTCTTTTCTGTGTCTGCTATCATTACTGTGTTATCTGCGTATCTTGTATTGTTGCGATTGTGGCCGTCAATAATGAATCCTGGTAGGATTTCCAATTTACTCTGAATTGCCTTGCTGTATAGGTTAAATAAGTTTGGTGAGAAAACGCATCCTTGCTTTACATCCCTTTCTATTTTTGTAAATCTGCTGAACTCATCCTCTATGCGCATACAGGCCGTTTGCTGCCAGTCTGCATTAAATGACTCCCAAAGAGTTGATATGATGCTAAACAAATAACTTTCCCTTCTGGGTCTTCATTCTGCGTACAGGATGAAAATTCATGACCCTTCTGAATTGGTTGAAAACTCTGGTCATTTCTTTGACAATTCCATGCCTTATGGTTGAAAATGTTTCTTACCTTTGATAATTTGATCACTTGCTAAAAATAATTTGATCACCTACTAAAAATTTATCCACTAGCCCTTCATAAAGCAGCTCATTAACTTCAAAATTTACATTAAATGCACGCTTTTGATTGGATAAGAATAAATATATATCTTTTAAATTTGAAAAGTGAATTTACAAATCATGACAGTTATTAGGGAGATTTGATTAAATATACTTTAATATTTAAAAAAAAATTTGTTCAGTATTATTGTTTAAGTTATAAGCATTATAACAGCAGAAATAGCTATATTGTGGAAAAAGAAATTATTGACAGTATACACAATTTTTATGTATTTATGGTTATTTTTTAACTTTTATCAGAAACGACATTCTCATACATGTAGTTATGGATAATATGCATTAATTACTGATTTTTTTAATTAATAATTATTTGTGCTCAGTTGTTGACATTAATAGCTATCTGCTGATGTGTTAAAATTTTAGAATAATGCAATAATAAAAATTTAAATTTCATCTCTCTAATAAATGTCGCGATCTGTTAAAACAATTCACATTGGTTGAAATAATAGTTTAGGTTTGTCTTGTACATTTACGTTTGAAAGAAGTGTGTCTCAAAGAAAGCTTGACATTTTATGAAAAAAATTGTAATATTTATCTGTAAAAATTTCTATTTTTTAATATTGGCTGTAAAAAAAGTGTCAAAAATATTTCAGCCAAAGATTAATTAACTCAGTATAAAGATAATGACAAATGAGAAAAATGGCAGTCATTTGTTGAAACCTCCTGAAGAGTGGACTGAACAATTATGGAAAAAAAATGAATCTGTGACACTCTGGGGTTGAGGTGCTGAATAGAACATCACTTGGCTAAGTGACAAAACTTGTTTGTATTAATCACAGAATAATTGAAATATATAACAAATGGTGTTTACAACATAAGTGGCAATAATTTGCATAACAAATTTTAAAAAATATCTTTTAATAAATATTTCTTCTGTATTTTAATTCAAATTTTTAAAAAATGCCATATGTAAGTAGTGTTTCTGTTAAGTTTAATTTTTAAATTCAAGTTTGTATAGAATTAATCTATATCCGCCTTGTCAAAATTCATAATGAGCATTGTTGTCATCTGATATTTCAGGTTTCTATGAATTAGTCAAGTAGACAAAAAACTTATGAAATTATTTAAATAAGTAAAAAAAACAAAAAAACTGTTCAATTAAATTTTTTAAAAATGGTACTGAATTATTTAAACAAGTGGGGAAAAAAATAGTAAATTTGCTGAATTAGTTGTTATTATTAATAATACTATAAACATTAGAAACTTATACATATGTTCCTTGTATGATCAGCTGTATGTAACTGTACATAAAGTCTACTGGGTTATGTTGTTTATACACAAATTTTAGAGGTAAAAGAACTTCTATGATAATATAAATAAAGAGATAATATAATATTGATTAATATATTGATAATACGAATAGAATAATTCATATTTATATATAACAATTCATTTACAATAATTCATCTTCATATAATAAAATAATATTTCTATTGATAATTTTTTTTTAATCTTATACAGAAATTTTAGTGGTAAGAGAACTTCTATGATAACCATTTTCTGTTTGTAGGATGAGGATTCAACTAGCATTGATAAATAAACTTTAATTTATTAACACATTATTAGACAGGATTTGCTTTTGTCTTCGTCTTTGGTGCAATCGAAACCTGTCTCTAAATCTTTGAGTCTGCTGTGACTGTAATCCCTGTCTGGGTTTTTTACTCTGTTGTAACTGCAACCCATGCCTGCAGCTTTTACCATCCACAGCAACTCATGGTTGTATCTTTGAAAACAAATGCCACTGTAATATAGAATATTTGATACTTGGTCCTCATAAGCATCTTTCCCTCTGAGCGACTGCTACTCGTGCCATTTTTGAAATCTGGTCCGAATGGCCACTATAGCCAGCATCTTTTGACTCTTTATGACTGCCACTCACGGCCAGCATCTTTGACTCTGTTGCAACTTAAACTTGTGATAAATGAAACTCCAGTGAGACCACAATCATTGACTCTGAATCAACCACAAATCCTGGCCATGTCTTTGACTCTCACGCAATGCAAAAATAACTTTGTTTTTTTTATCTTTGTATTTCAAATATTTTCATATTTTTTTTCTTTTTACTTGCAGGACTGATAATGGATTTGATCATTGTGGGTCTTCTCAAATCCGTGGTACGTCGACAGAGGCCCATCCTAAATGACATGGATATGATAGCCACTGTGCCAATGGACCAATATTCTTTCCCTTCAGGCCATGCAACTTCAATGAAAATTTTCTGACTCTTTTTTTTTTTTTTTAGTGTTTGCTTCTAACTCAAAGCCTGTATTGATTATTGCCATTTGGTCAGTGTTGGTGTGTGTATCCCGTTTGTTATTAGGCCGGCACCATCTCTCTGACGTTGTAATGGGTTGCATCATTGGAACTGTAGAGTACTATTGTCTCTTATCTCTCTGGCTCTCCAAGGAAACCTGCACCACAGTCCTAGAACCGATTTTTGGACAATTTCTTTAACCAAAATTTGTTGCAAATTCATTTATTGAAATTTTTCTTGAAGGATTACTCATTCTCTCATGGATAAAGAATTTTTTTTTTTTTTTTTCATATAACCCAATAGTTCTCTGGCGATATTGTAAAATACTGCCAGTGTACTCTTTGGTACTAGTAACAACAGTTACTAATTTAGTACTTTTGGGACCAAACCTAGTTCCTCAGCTTCTAGCTCTTTTTATTATTATTTGCAGTAAAGACTGTTATCCTCATCTTTGTTGTTAATAGCATAATGTTTTGGCTATTCTGCTTTCTGATCATCTTCAGATGTCAGATCTGGATAACCTTCAAGAAATTTCAAGTTGAACTCTTTATTCAATCTATAGGGTAGATTATTCTCATTCTGCTGGTCATAATGTCTAATTCTTATTTAGTACTACTTGGTTTACTCAGTTGGTCAGTTAATTGCCGTATGTGATACACGCTTTGGCAATCATGTCTCTTTGGATTCATGACTGACTAGCCCAAAGATTTTCCCGCAGTAGGATGCCATTTCTTTCTATGGTAGACTGGTTACCAAGCAAGGCTATAGAACCCAATTTGTCCTGCAGTTTAACCCATACTTGGGGGGAGAATAGATAGACTCATACGGGTATTTGTGTGCAAGTGAATGCAATGAACTCAACTGGAATTCAAACTCAGCTCTACGATTACTCCTTCTGAGTCGATATCCCGACACACCAACAATACATCACTCAAATATTATTCACCCAATTCCCTAATAAAAAAGTCTGTCTGCAACCAATATTTATGGATTAAACTTGGTTGAAATGGCAAGCAGTACTAAATAAGAACTCCGAGAGATGTTCTTAGACATTGTTAGCAGAATGAGAACTTGGAGATTAAATAAAAGGTTCAGTTCAAAACTTTCTCTTAGCTCCACAAGCGCCTGATGAAGGCCAGAGAGCACAAAGGCCAAAACGTTTTTATAACAACAACAAAGGCAAGGATGATAATACTAACTCCCCATCCCTGAAAATGGGGCTAGATGCCGATTTATGGGAGCTAAATGCACGGAAAATGAGGTAAAACTAGTCCTGAAGGTGCTAAATTAGCAAAAGTCTTATCAATAATGATATTTAATCTGTTCAGAACATTTCCTCGACTAAGGCTCGTAGCCTGGTGCACCATTATTAACTACATGTTCTGAAATCTGTGGTTACAAGTCGAGATAATTTACTTGGCTGTCATGGATTTTACAAGCAAATAATTAGTGATTCCCAGGTCACATTCCTCCCCTTGCGATCTTGGGTTCCTGCACTATTTTAAAATGTGATTATTTTTTTTTTTTTTTTTACTGTGTTATTTGAACAATTCTTGAAGTAAAATTGCTTCATAAATTGAAATCTTAATTCTAACAGCACATAACATTTCCATATAATTTAATACCTAATTCCTCCCCTTAGGTTTGCAATACCTCCACTTGGAGCTAATTTGAGAATCATCAATATAAACTAATGCAACATAACTGGACAAAACTCTACAATCAGATTGGCCTGTTCGGATAACTATTTCAATAAAATGTTTGCTGTGAGTCTGAGAAACTTAATTAAATACTTACTGTTATAAGGTTTTTCAAGTGTGTTTTTAAATCTATTTTCCAATTATGATATGTAATAATAATAATAATAATGAGTGATCAGTTTATTACTTAATAACAATAGAAAACCGATCCCCAACTTTATGTCCAGTATAATCTTATATTAATGATAGTTTGCCACTGCTGTCAAGAATGAAGGCATATTTTCTTGAGTCTTTACTATTATTTTGGGGTCTTGTCACTGGATCTAACCAAAATCTTTATCCATTGGTCCACATGTCCTCGAGTGACTAGACCCAAAGAGTTGTGAGTTCAATACCTGGCCACAGCAGTGGTGAACCAAACTTGGAGAGTTGAGTTAAATGAAAATAACTGAGACATCCTGAAGAGGCATGGCATATGGAATTAGAATGATTTACCCCGGTGGAGGAAATAAAGGGTTTGGTTGGAAATTCCAATCACCCGAAGAAGGCCGGAGCGTACAACGGGCAAAACATTGTGTATATGGCAATGAAGATGAGGATAACTGTACGAGTAATGTAAATCCAAATTAGTCAAAAAATGTGTTCAACCCTCCTCAAAAAACAAAATTAGAATGGGTAGATGTCATTGACACAAAAACAAACTTGTTTTCATCATAAAAATTGTTCCCCCTCTCCAACAAATTCTTCCAGGTATGTTTCAATGATAGCGAGTTGAAAGTTTGTTGTTTTTACAAAGCTTCTGATTTACATTAATCCATAAATTTTCAATGTTTGTTTTTCTTATACTAAAATGCACTCAGTACAAGACTCAAGAGCCACTCGAGCTAGAATGCTATTGTATGAGGTGTGTAAGAGGAGATAGTTATGAGGATAAGGAGTATAGATAATTGTACAATTTAGAATTGTAGTGTTCGGGGATGTCTTCATGTTGGGAATCTGTTTTCCCAAAGTAACAGTTGTGAGCATGATTGACTTTGTTCATAATGGCTTTTATGAATTTCTTACTTTCTGAAGTTTTCTGTAATGTAGACTTTCTTTTAATGAAAGAATTGAATTGAATTTCCTTAATGGAAGATTTTTTTTGTTACTAATATTCTCCACCCATCAATACAAGGCCCAAGAGCCACTCAAAGTAGACGGTTACTGTGTGGTGTTGTATGGGCATGAGTAACTGGCAAATAGTGAAGTTCTTGCAGCTATGTAGGGAAGATAACGGCTAACTCTAAACTTGAAGAGGTCGAGATTTAATTGGTGAATAACATTTCAAATTTCAGGCGGATGTTAGAAGTATAGTGTGGAAGTTAACATTAGAAAGAACCGTATTCTCAAACAGGAAATGGGGGATAGACCTCTACTCCTGTTCAAAAGACTGTGGAGGAGTGTGAACCTGATGACTCCTATTGGGAGAGAAGAAAAATAAAATAGTGAATAATATTTCAGAGCTCAGTCAGAGATATTAGAAGTATAGAGTTGGGGTAGACTTTAGAAGGAACCAGAAACCCAATCCTAAACAGGAAACAAGGGATAGTGAAGATTGACGAGAGATAAGGATTGTGTAATTTAAATTTGTAGTGTTCAGGGATGCTTTCATGTAAGCATCTGTTACACAAAGGAACAGTTCTGACTGTGGATGACTTTGTTCGTAAAAGTCTTATGAATTTTAATTCTCTTGCTCTTTACATTTTTTGTTATGTAGACTTTTTTGTTTTACTTTAGGCTTGACTACCATTTACTAGATACACTTAAGAAAAAGCAATTGCAATTTATCCTAAGTAATTTTTTTTTTTTTTTTTTTTTTTTATTAATGAAAGAATTTAATTTCCTTAATTGAGTAGGTAGGATTTTTATTTGAGCATTGTATAACGTAATTTCCCATTTATAATACACCTTGATCCATGATATGCACACCTAAAATTTACTGAAAGAGTGGAAAAATGCTTCTACTCTCACACAATACGCACACCTCATTTAGTAATCAAACCCTATAAATTGTATGTCTCCAATTTCATTACGGCCAGCGTTTCCTACTCTTATTTTAAAAAATGGTTTTAAACATAGAATAATATTCTAATTTAGTTTTATGATAATTCTTATTTCATTTTACAACAATTTCTTAAAGATTTTTTTTGTAGCTGTGCATAATACGCGCTCCTGATTTTGCTTTTTTTTTTTTTTAGAAAAAATTGCGTATTATACATGGGGAATTATGGTAATTGTGCTTGTCTGTCCCTTTTTTATTTAGCTCGTTAGTTTGCATGACCCTTACACCCTGCCAGTATTGCATGAATAATGGACTATTCTGTTTTGATAGCGTAGAAAGAGTGGAAAAGTGAAAAGGGCCGATAGAAGTATTTAACGTCTCTTAACAAAATGTCATAAGTAATTGACTATTCTGTTTTGATTGTGTAGAAAAAGAAAGATGGAAGATGTTTAACAGATGTTTTAGTGAAATGGGAAAAGTTGTCAATTTAAAAATTTTTTTTTTCATTTGTACCCACTTCTTAAAATAACAGCCAGCATTCCTCTTTATAATTGTTATTGTGATATTTTGTTAAAATCCATAAGCTCAAAAATTTAACAATGCGATAGGGGAATTTCCATGGCATACAACTTGCCATGAGCTTATTCAACCACTAACTGAAGAATTAAGATTCATTCGAAAACTCAGATAGGAAAACCATGAAATTTTCACAGGTCTTTCAATAGTGATATTAATTTTATTGTAGTTTCAAAAGTTTTACTCTTTCAAGTAAAAACCAAAGAAAAAATAATCCTATTATAATTGTGCTTGTTTCTCCCTTCGTTAGTTCGCACAACCATTACGCCCTGCCAACACCTCATAAATAATGGGCTATTTTGTTTTGATTGTGTGGACAGGAAAAAAGACACTACTTGGTTTCAGTGACAAAAAGGAAGGAAGAAAGAAAGACAGACATAGAGAGAGAGAGAGAGAGAGAGAATCATATTAAGCTGATGAGAACAGATGTTACTTTGATCTTAGTCAAAAGGCTGAGAAGTGAGGTATTTCCCAGAATGTCCAGGTCGCAACCGTGTGTGATAAAAGGTTGAGGTTTAAAGTGAGTTCGATGGCATTGCTATGGAAAAATTGCCTAAAAGTAAATGGCACTTCCAATTTTGGGGACGCCTCTGGCGCAAGGCAATGAACCCAGCCCCGTCCCAAATGAGAGGTACTGCCTGGGTGGAAGGC